CTACTCAGGAGGCTGAGGCAGGACAATTGCTTGAAACCAGAAAACGGAAGTTGCAGTGAGCCGGAATTATGCCACTGCACTCCAGCCTAGTGATAGAGCGGGACTCTGTCTCAAAAAAAAAAGGATGAGTTCCAACAAGTTCTCTCTCCTTTTCTGGGCTTCCTAGATTTCTTGAAGAAAATGGGAATCCTACCATTGGCCTGGCAATTGCATAAAGTTGTTTGTTGATGGCAAACAGTAGACAGTTCTAAAACTGAAAGTGTGGTCTCTGGACTAACGGCAGGACCTGAAGAGGAGTTAGAAATGCAGATTATAGGTCTCCACCCCAGGCCTACTAAATTAGACATCTCTCTTTTAACAAGCCTTCCAGGTGATTCTGATGCAAACTATAGTTTGAACCATTGCTCTAAATAAAGTGTTTTGCACACTTCTTTTTAAAAAATGAGCTTACTTTTAGTATGCTTGTCTCCCAAATACAGAGTCGTTGATTCTCCAGTCCCCATCTTTCTGCCCAGGCAGAAATGCTATCAAATGTGCAGTTCCTTCCAACACGCCTCATCTTTCCAGCTGGGTGAGGCTTTGCTTTGTAGACTTTATTTGCGCACTGACGAAAACGCTTGCGATCTGTCTGACATACACTGAAGTTACTGCCAAACCTTCCCTGTTGCAGAGTTACACCTTAAATAAAAGCCTTCAGCGATTTCATTTTAATAAGCCAGTTTATTGTGTTCAAAATGCTTTTGTTTAGGGGAAAGGTAGAGCCAGGGTGGAATCACAGGATGCCTTTATCTGGGAATATCTAAATGGAACAAAGTTTCTAGCACATCCAACAGACGTGCTTTTGAAGAAACATGCTCAGTACACACAGGATGAAAAATACAGTTATCAGCATAATGGGTAATAGCTTGGTAATGATCATCATTGACAAAGTTCTATTGGATTTGCTTATTTTCTCAAAAAAAAATGAACTAGTGAAACATGTTTGGACTAAAATGAACAATCTGCAGGATTTTCAGGAATTGTGCCAAATTCAATTTTTGTATTGCCAGAAAGTATACTCAGTATTTTCCCATTACCCTTGGTTTGCATGGTGTTTGTTTTGGGCTATGCAGTAGTTTTATTGTGGAGGATGCCAGAGAAAAATGCAGGCAGCGTTCCTGTATCCAGCCCGAGAATTGAGGAGAGCTGTTTCTCCCTCACTCCTGTCCATCTGTTAATCCTCTTTGCTTGATGAAACCTTGGAAAGTCCAGCATCTAAACACCAGGAGGAGATGCAAAGCTAACATTAGAGGAATGCGTGTTTTACCTGGACTTCTATGGGCTTTGAAGAAGATTGAAAGTCCTGAAAGGACTAACTCATTCTCCTTCCTCAGAGCAAGCCACATGACCTACCATGTGGCGTGGGAGCGATTTGGTAGGCTGTTAATTAATATTAACTGATTTATTTTAGAAATGGAGCGTCTTGCTATGTAGGTAAGTTCTTAAGTCATCCATCAAATTATTAGTAGCCTTGTGAGAAGCTATGCTAGCACATTCTATATTTGAGGAATTACTGGAATAATTTTGAATAGTTATCAGTAGGCTTGAATTATAAAAGGTGACAAAAGATGTCCAGGAAAGACAGAGCTGTGTTCCCAAAGAGTAATCACTGCCTCTGTTGACTTCAGAGTTCAGTCTTTAGGATGGATCTCAGCATACCAAGGAACTTATTTACTCCTTTCTCCAGAGTTCTCTATCACTTCACCTTCACTCAATCATGTTACATCGGGGTTCATTTATTCTCCAGTCTTCAAAGTATTTTGAATGTCTTTAATCTCATTTCTGAATCTGGACACTGCCTAAGACGGGGTAATCAGGAACCTTCTCTGGGGAACTTGGAATCGAGAAAAGCAAGTCACTCTAGGGCAGGCTGTTGAACTGATGCCGCGCAAACTCAAGTGTTTTGGGAAACCTTAACCTTTCAGAAGGTGAAAAGCGTTATCTGCAGGAAGAAAGCAGAGGTAAAAGGACACTGGGCTCAGAGAGAACAGAAACTTGGTACAATCACCTTCCAGTGGCACATTCTCTTTCTTCATGAGACCCTATTATATACAGGGCAAGGTTTCATTAAAAAAAAGAAAAGCACAATTTGCCATTTTCCCCATGAAGTCAAACTAGCTTTAATACCATTGTATTCCTTGCAGCCTATTTTTCTTGCTTTGACTAATCTAAGTGGCTTCAGGGTTTGGTCTCACTCTATAAGCCAGCAATGTTGCTACACATCCAAAAGTAGGCCTGATGCAGTGGCTCACACCAGTAATCCCAGCACTTTGGAAGGCCAAGGCAGGAGAATCACTTGAGCCCAGGAGTTCGAGACCAGCCTGGTCAACATTGCAAGACCCTCCTGCCTCTACAAAAAAATTTTCAAAATTAGCCAGGCATGTGGCATGTCCCGGTAGTTCTAGCTAGTCTGAGGTGGGAAGATCGCTTAAGCTCAGGAGGTCAAGGCTACAGGGAGCTATGATCACTCCACTGCACTCCAGCCTAAGTGGCAGAGCAAGACCTTGTCCAAGAAGCATCTGGATTGTTCCATATAGAGTAGGCCAGGCTTGATAGTGTAACCATTGACATGTATTCATGTTATTTATTGTCACTGAGAGCTGCATGCTTTGCCTACACTCTCATTTAATCCATCACACTCTTATGAGTATTTTGAAGAGCCACATAACTTGCTCAGGAACCCAGAGAGAGGAGACAACAGAGTCTTGACTCAGGGTTCAGATCCACCAGCCATGCTGAAAAGGGTGCAAGGATAATTCCAACTTGGGCCAGCCTTAGTATCAGAAAGGCTTGGTTCAAAGTACGGGTTCAAAAGGGCTCTCAGGCCTGACTGCTCTAGGCAATGGACAGAGAGTGTGTGAGTAATTAGAGGTGATTAAGAGGAGGGTCAGTGGAACTGCAACTAGACTCTGCACTTTCAAGCATCCACAGTAATTTATCTCATATTAGCAGTTCTCCCTAATGTTCTATAATGACAATGGGATGTGAGAATGACAAGATAATGTTGGAACCAGTCCTTTCTACAAGCGATCTTCTGACTTGGGAGTCAAAGCCCATTCCCCAAGACACAAGACTAGGCCTGCTTTTTTAAACCTGGCCTTTGTCTGATGAGGCGTATGGCACAGGGACTCTTCTGAGGATGGATTGCTATGCCAGTCTCTGATAGGCAAATTGCCAGCTTCTAATCCCAAACTAACTAGTGATCTGGGCTTTTGCTTCTTCTCAGACAGTACTGGTGAGGTGCCTTTGAAACCCGGAGCCATTCATTCCTGTCCCTGCACATAGCTCTCTGCCAGCTGCCTACAGGGAGGGGCCATGTAGCCCCTGCCTTTGCAAATCTAGCTAGTCTAGGACAAGAATTCTTTTTATAGTTGCCTCAGGGATTTGATTAAAAGGATGATAGGCTCATGATGGTGAATCCTTACCATCATTGGTTACGAAAATAAAGATAACTTTCACATTTTTTAAGGCCTCGTCATTACAAAGCCTTTTTACCCCTTCTTCTAACATTTATGACTTAGTTTCTGGAGATTAAAGTAGAGCTTTCGCAACTCTTCACCCCAGCATTCCCAAAACATGTGTTCATACCCACAGATCCTTAAATGCAAAGGAAATTAGACCAACTTTGTAGAATGTAACAAATATGATGAATTTGTTTTTATTTGGTTGGTGGGTTTTTTGTATGTTTTGTTTTGTCTTTGATTTTGTTTTTATTTTTTTTGGTGAGACAGAGTTTAACTCTGTAGCCCAGGCTGGAGTGCAGTGGTACGATTTCAGCTCACTGCAACCTCTGCCTCCCAAGTTCAAGCAGTTCTTCTGCCGTAGCCTTCAGAGTAGCTGGGATTACAGGCGTGCACTACCAGGCTGAGCTAATTTTTGTATTTTTAGTAGAGACAAGGTTTCACTTTGTTGGCCAGGCTGGTCCCAAACTCTTGCCCTCAGGTGAACCACCCACCTCAGCCTCCCAAGGTGCTGGGATTACAGGTATGAGCCACCATGCCTGACCAAATATGATGAATTTGGAGCCCCCAGTCTTCCATCTTCTCTATTTGATGAATGAATGCCTTGTTTCACAAAAGGTGATTATGTTGCTAAATAAGAGATACTTGAGAATATTTTCCATGATGTCATCTGGGCTTGTGGGATTTTGTGTGTGTGTGCCGCTCCCATATGACATACCTTCTGTATTAGCCAGTTGTTTCTTTCCCTAGTTTTGCACGTGGCTGAATGGTAGAATGTCTGTTTCCTTTTCTCAGGCAAAATTCGCTGCTTGGTGCTTTCCCCAGTTGTTGTTAAGGTTCAATGAGCCTCATAAAGTACAAGAATATGTCCTAACAGTCATAAATAGGAATGTTCCAGGGTGTGCAAAAATCCTCATGTTAATGACAATTTTTAATTACACGCTCTGTATCCCAGATTTAGTGAGTCTATTTCTGACCGATGTCAGCTGCTGCCTGCCTTACAAAAGACTTGAAACCTGGAGGGCTTTAAATGTAGGTGGAGGCTGAGGTACCTAGGAGTTTGCCGAGTGCCAAAGACGGGCTTTGACTCCATTGCCAAGGCAGGTGCTGACATATCCCTTTGGCTAGAGAGGCTCGTCACATGCTGGAGACTAACAGAGAAAATGGTAAAGCCAGCTCTCAGGGGAGTCTGCCGAGAAAGCCCTACCCTCTGGTTCACCAGCATGTTTGCTGAATTCTCTGCTTCTAGGAAAATTGACTGGCTTTGTTTTTCCCTCACAGAGAGAGGGAAAATTCCCAGATGTGGATGATTTGCCTGACCCTTGCTTTAAGGATGAATTTCTGCTTACCATAGGAAACTCATCTGCTGTTGACTTTCATAAAGGGTCAGGACTTCAGAAGTCAGTTGCATCCTGCTGGGGGCATCATCTTCCCAGGAAGTGGGAATAGGCACATGGTTTGAGTAACGGGCAAGTCATCTGTATGCATTCTGTCCTTCAGGTTCACCAGTACTATAGCTGCCTCCCAGAAGAGAAAGTCCCTTATGTCAACAGTCCTGGAGAGAAACTGCGAATCAAGCAGCTACTACACCAGCTGCCGCCACATGACAATGAGGTGAGGGGCTAGAGGGGGGCTTATGCAGAATTTTCTTAGAATTTTCTATGAATTATTACCTTTTTTATAATCTGTGATCAATGAGATAGCCAAAGAAGAATTCTGGCAACTTATTTTAGGTTTTAGCTTCCTTAATTAAAGCCAACATAAACTGGCCAACTATTTACTTCTAGCGAGTATTATTAAAAAAAGCAAAATCTCATTATGAATGGGATTGGCCTCTGTGCCTGGCACTACTAGCTATGTGGGGGTAACCAGGGAGCACTAAAATTCGAAAGCTATGATTCCAAGTTTTCTTACTTGAAGAAGAATATGCCACGTGGGTTGCCTTGTGTATGTTGGGGAGATGATTGAGATCCCCCGGACCACTTCAAGCCCTACAAAAACTTTGTGACTCTCTTGAATTTTCAGCATCATTTCATATTAAATGAGTGTGCATGTTTTCGACACTACACTGCAGGAGAGGTTGCGTGTCCAGATTTGTAGCTCTGAACATCTGTGGTTTTGTCTTGGTGAAGTCTGACTTGCCAGGGTCGTTCTTTGTACTCTTGAAAGTGTAGACTAGCAGACGGTCCTTTTTTCTGAACCCAGAAACGTGGCACTGTAAGTGGGCATTTCTTATGCTTGAAATCTGATTGATCATAAAGAGAAATTTGTAAACATGATTTTAAAAGATCATCGTGCTGGAAGGGACTCAGTTTATAAGCTAAAAATTCATTTTCAGGTATCTGGTTTTTAAAGATAGTAATCCTACAGAACTGAACTGTCTACTTGACTCTGACTGCATTTTAAAATAAAAATATAATTCTAAATTGATAGGAGAAATGGCCCCTTTAGAGAGCTGGACACCAGCTTTCTACCAACTCTCCCACCCACAAGCTGGATCCTAGCAGCTCCATCCCAGGGGAAATGAGTGAGTGCTTTTCAGTCTTATCTTCCCACATTAGAAGAAAAGAGGATAATTTGAGAGCTTCAGAAATACATTTGAGTAAGCAGGACAAAAACTTTAAAACTGAAGTAATTCCCTAGAAAGAGAGCTATGATTCTCTTTCCTGCTGCTTTTTTTCAGACTTCATAAAACAAATATAAACAATGTGTTTTCCTTTAAAGCTGAAAGCAAGCATTGTAACCTGATGCCCATTAACTGATTTAGAAGTGAAAATGTGGGTTTTTACAAGCAGGAAGGGTGTGCCTTCCTTTGAAAGCATGTCCCTAAAATGTCAGTGGTGTAACCGTATATTCTAGGCTGTTCAGGTCACTGCAGTTTTCTCTGGTACATTTACCTGAAGCCTTCTTTTTTTTTTCATTTACTCTTTTTATTTGATAGAGGGAAGTGATTGGCTCTTCTCTGATTTTAGTGGTTTGTTGTGTTTATGGTTAACTGTGCTTTTATGAAAAGACACACCATTCAAATTACAACGTCCTGTTGGTGGGAACTAAGTGTGTGTGACCCAATGGGCAGATTTAGCCTATTTGAAATGGCCCTTTTGAGGACAAAGGGTGATTGTGATTCTAAAGTAAATATTTGACCTTTTTTTTCCTGCACAGATAAGACAATTTTGATATACACAGCTGTACTGCTTTTCAAATTAGGATGTGACAGTCCTAGTTCAAAGGTTTCCCTTCAACCATCTGTATGACAAATCATCTGAGCAATTCAGTTAACCTTTCTGATGTCCAGATTACTCCAAAGTATGACAGGAGATGGGATTGGGACCGTGTTCCCCAAAATGTGTTATATGCATGACCCTGAGTGTTATGTGGACGTGGCAGTAAATGAAGTAAAACCACATATTGAGAGAGTTACTGTCTTTTAAATTGTATTTCATTCCATGTGATAGAGTGGTTGAATCATCAAGGAGGAAATTTCAATTTAGTGCTAGCAGGTGTCTCATGTCTCTCTAACTCACACTGGCCTCCACTTTTAAGCAGGAGCATCAGGGATCTCTGTTTTAGGATTTCCTCTAAGCAAAATGGCCAGCTAGAATCTAACAACATGGTTCTGTTCCCCTTTTATTTAGGTTTCTTCTGTTTTTTTACAGGTGATATTAGTTTTCCATTTATAGTCATAATATGCTTTCTTTTGAAATAAATGCATCTAAGTTTCAAAAAAACTGAGTCAGTATGAAAAACAGCATTAAGTAGATAACAGTACAAGAAGATGGCACAATTCCCAAGGTGTGCATAAATAAGGGGAGATACTGGATCCAAATATCTTTAATGTTCCTCCCTTAATTCTGTGTCTGTATTTAACAAATAGGAAAATGTCTCTTGCAAGTCAACTCAGCTGAAGCCTAGGAGGCAGGCTGCTCCCTCCTCTACACAGATAAACATGTAGAGACTTCTGTGTAGCACCAAAGATGCCTGGACCAACTCCTGACGCTCACATCTTTGTTTCCCTATTTTTTCCAAAACGAAACGGGAGAATGGAAGCTGTGAGACACCAGAACGTGGACACCAGTTTTGGCTCACCTACTTAGAGTCATTCTTGATGTCAGGGATCACTTGCATGGGCACATGGAGATGAAAGTATCATACCTACAGTTGAGAAGAACTTCTCAGCTCTTTCCTGGCAGCTGAGCCACCCCAGATGATTTGATCTTAGTATGGTGAGCGGAGTGAGGCAGTCAGGATAAGGAATAGTCACGGAACCTTTAGCCTGCCCAAGGCTTGGGCTCCAGAATTCAGAGCCTTTGGTAAGCTCTTTTGGCTGTCAGCAATCTTAGTAGAGACTCACCTTAAATCATTCCAAGGCTGTTGCGGTTAAAGTTCAGGTGAGGACTATAAAACCAAACGAGAGCACATTTAACGAGAAAACTCAGACGTGGGCTTCAGGAATCTTAAGGAGCAAGGGTGACTTCTTCCATGCTGTCTCTGTGTATTCAGGTTCGATACTGCAACTCCCTGGATGAAGAAGAGAAGAGGGAGCTGAAGCTTTTCAGCAGCCAGAGGAAACGCGAAAACTTGGGCCGTGGGAATGTCAGGCCTTTCCCAGTCACCATGACAGGAGCTATTTGTGAACAGGTGAGCGTGGATTCAGGGGAGTGAAGAGGCTTGTGCCTGCTGTGTGCCTGAGATACAGCAGTGAACAAAACATGGGAAAGCGTTATCTTACCCTTCTAAGGAGTCGGAGTCTAGGGGAGGAAGTCAGACAATAAATGTAATCAACAAAATAGAAAAAAAAAAAAAAAACAAAAACAGCAATGAAGGGGACTTGGAGGTACTGGATGTGTGGCGAGGCTGCAGTTTTAAGGAAGGTTGATAGGGAAGACCCCACTCAGAACATCTGAGCAAAGATGTGCACCAGATGTGCAAGAGGGAGTGAGTCATGCAGCCTTTAGGTTGGAGGGAATGTAAGGCAGAAGGAATGGCCAGCTCAGAGACCCTGAGACAGGAGGATGTCTGTTATGTTCAAGGAACAGTGAGTTGGCTGATGGACTGAGGCAGAGGGAGTGAAGGGAGAGAATTCAGCAGATAAAGTCAGAGTTCCGGGTGAGCCATTGGAAGGATTGAGCAGAGCAGCGACATGATGGATGCATATTTTAAAAGTAGACCTTAAGAAAATGGCTGGGCGCGGTGGCTCAAGCCTGTAATCCCAGCACTTTGGGAGGCCGAGGCGGGTGGATCACGAGGTCAAGAGATCGAGACCATCCTGGTCAACATGGTGAAACCCCGTCTCTACTAAAAATACAAAAAAATCCGAGCTACTCAGGAGGCTGAGGCAGGAGAATTGCCTGAACCCAGGAGGCGGAGGTTGCGGTGAGCCGAGATCGCGCCATTGCACTCCAGCCTGGGTAACAAGAGCGAAACTCCGTCTCAAAAAAAAAAAAAGAAAATGGAGTTGACCCAGGCCAGGGTCAGCCTCCCTCCCAGGATCATCCCAGAACCAGAACCATTTAAAGGGGAGGTAAATGATCTTCTCCCAGGATTTGAGGGTTCCTTATTGAAGTGCATAAAGCCATTCCCAGTCTTGTGGACAGGAGCTGTTTGTGAACAGGTGAGAATGGGTTTAGGGGAGTAAAGAGGCATTCTCCCTGGGACCTCACTGAGCTCAAGATTCTGGATTTCCTTGTCTCCTCTGCTCCTGCTGAGTGCTCAGGCTGTGGTGAAGAGGAATTTTAGAGACTGCAGGGTGGGAAAACACCTTTCCCCACCTCTCAGCTACCACAGGCTTTCCAGTGCTGATTGTCATTCCTGGCACTTCTCTGAGTCCTACAGCTTTTTGAACATTCCTATCTAACTCCTTAAGCTCTGCCTAGACCCCTTGAGTGCTGAAGATATGTTAACGGGATTGACAAAGAGGAGGTGAGATGCGGCCCAAGGGAAGCAGATGTCATTTGAGGCCCTTTTTTGAGATTTCAGAAGGGCAGAGTGAGAAAGTTCAGTTATGTAAGATGGGGGAGCGACTTGACTGGCGATTTGGCTGTGGGATCTTCATTCCTGAAAGCATATCAGGAGCCCACCTTTAAGGTTCAGGTGGTCAATGGTTGTGGTGTGAGATTCACTGTGATCAGTCCAGGCAAGCTAGAATCCTTGCCACTCTCAGATCAGTCTCCTGGAACCGGACAAGCTAAGTTCAGTTAAGGAAAAAGGAAGGTTGGGCATTTTGTGGGCAGGTCCGAAGAATTGTATAGAATGGTGCCAAGAGTGTGGAGGCAGAAGGAGCTTTCGTAAGTGTGAGTCATGTTTCTTCCAGACAACCTTGATCGTGATACTTTTCCTTGGTTTTGTCATCTGTAGAATGGATGAATGATGACTTATGCGAGGGTTAAATAGGATTACGTATGCATGCTTTAGCTCTGCTAACATGATCACAGAAGGTAAGGATAACATGATGGCCTTTCTTTTGTCCAGTCACACACATGGATGACCTCCCAGAGACTATTGATGAGGTCTTCACTTCATTTTCTAAGATGCATTTCAACCCATAGCATGGGAAAGATTTGGAGGGAGCTTCTCTGCTTTTTAGACATTGTCCCCTGCGCTCAGCCACTCTTATGGATCCTCATACTAGCCTCACCCTGTGAACCTCATGGCCCATGCCGTGGTCAGCAAGAGCATCTCCATAGACCCACTTGCCACACTTTATTCTTCCCTCAGAGGCCCTCAAACCACATTCTTTTTGTCCCAACCTCACTGTAAGCATAGGTGGCCAGTGATTCTGCCTTGTTTCATTCAAGATCAAGAGGGAACTTGAGAAAATAAGTAAGAAGGTAGGGAAGGGATAGGAAGAAACCCTTTCCGTAGTTTCGCCTTAGAAGTGGTGCTGTGTAGGCCGGGCGCGGTGGCTCAAGCCTGTAATCCCAGCACTTTGGGAGGCCGAGGCGGGTGGATCATGAGGTCAAGAGATCGAGACCATCCTGGTCAACATGGTGAAACCCCGTCTCTACTAAAAATACAAAAAATTAGCTGGGCATGGTGGCGCGTGCCTGTAATCCCAGCTACTCAGGAGGCTGAGGCAGGAGAATTGCCTGAACCCAGGAGGCGGAGGTTGCGGTGAGCCGAGATCGCGCCATTGCACTCCAGCCTGGGTAACAAGAGCGAAACTTGGTCTCAAAAAAAAAAAAAAAAAAAAAAAAAGAAGTGGTGCTTTGTCAGTCAAGACTACGTAAAAAGGTATTAGAGGAAGCAGGTTAAAAGTGTGCCTGAAAGGCACACAGAGAAGGTAGTTAAAGGTGAACATGCTATTATGTACCCACCCTCTCTCCCATCTAAAAGTGTAGGCCCCACCCCCTCCCAACTCCGTCCTCCCCCCTCTCCCCCCTCCACCCTCCCCAGACACTCCTCCTGGTGTTAAACCTGGCTGTGTCTCCACACGGAATTTCAAGTATCTAAAAGATAATGAGGCTTTTCTCTGTGCGGGTTTGCCTCCTGCCTGCAGAGCTCCTGTACATTACTGTGCTAAAAGAGCTTTTCTTTCTTCCTGTCTTTGTGATTCCTCATTCTCCCAGTGACTTTATCTCTATATTATTTGTAGGCTGTAGGAAAGGAGAGTTCAGGGAGGACAAGAAAAACCTGCCCTGCTGCCTATGTAAAGCAGGAGGCACAGTGACTACTTTGAACATAAGCACTCAGTAGCCAGCTAATGGTGGTTGTCCTTGATCATTTATGCACAGCACTGGAAGATGGGGGCTGGTGTGACTGCTGATGTTTCTGTTTGCCTTGCAGTGCGGAGGCCAGATCAATGGTGGAGACATCGCTGTGTTTGCGTCACGGGCTGGCCACGGCGTTTGCTGGCACCCGCCGTGCTTCGTGTGCACTGTCTGCAATGAGCTCCTGGTGGATCTGATCTACTTTTACCAAGATGGGAAGATATACTGTGGCAGGCACCACGCTGAGTGCCTGAAGCCGCGCTGTGCAGCCTGCGATGAGGTTAGAGCAAACTCCAGCAGGTTTACCTGCCCATCATCCCATGGTTGCATCATAGCCAACACATGGTCTTCTGGCTTTCTGCACTGAAGAAAGCCATAGGCAACTTCATTCTCTTGCATTAACCCTTGAAGGAGAGAAGCCCCATCCATTACTAGAATGTCTGGGGTTGTGGCCCACTTTACTGAGCCTGGAGCGTCTCATAGCCTCCTGTTGGGAAGGTAGTTTCTTTATCTGTGAAGATCCCCAAGTGACATATAACTGGCCCTAAGTAAGTTCAGTACTTTAAAAACAAAACAAAACAGAAATGCATTGTGCAGCTTTAGGTATTAACCCTAATCTCATGGAATAATCAGTAATGGAGTAACACTTATATCTTAAAATTGTTCCATTTTCCAAAATTCAGTGCTGCAAATTTAGAAAAGAGAAGAAAATGGGTAGTATTATTTGATTTGTCTACAGTTTATGGAAGTTCTGAGTGAAAATTCAGGAGGTAGATGGATACCTCATCTGGATGCCCCATGCTCTGACAAGTACCCTGTGTAAGAAATCAGGATAGAACACAAGGCCCTGCCTGGCATTCTGTCCCTGCTAGAAGCACACCCTATCGTGTAAGCTGACAGAATAGAAAGCCTGGTTTAGCTTTATAAGTTGGGAGCAGAAAGAAGAATGTTCTAAATCTGACCACTTTTATGGGAATCATTTTGGTAAAAGTCCTAGACAGAGGTTTCCTCCTGTGCAAAGGAGTTTTTTGGGTCTATCTTTCCCTGTAAATAGCAGCGTGGGAGGTGAGTAACACTCCCCTGTTTCAGCCAGAGAACCTACTGTTACATGGTTATTTCTTTCTTACAAACTACCTACAAGGGACTCTCTAGGAGGAAGCTGATCAGACTTAACTAATTTGGATTCTGACGCTAATAGTGATGTTCTGGAGAGACCCTCTAAAAAGATAGCTGGAAAACTAAATTCAGGTCCAACCCTGTGGTTCTAGGCCACCTTTTGACCTTTGTGCCTCAGTTTCCACATCTGAAAATTGGTGTTCAGAATACAACTGTGTATTGTCTAATGGCAAACAGGATATGATGATTGAAGTACACACTTTGAAATTTTTGTTTATTGAGATATAATGTATATAGCATTAAGGTTCACCCTTTTAAAGTATGTAATTCTAGCCGGGCGCGGTGGCTCACGCCTGTAATCCCAGCACTTTGGGAGGCCGAGGTGGGTGGATCACGAGGTCAAGAGATCGAGACCGTCCTGGTCAACATAGTGAAACCCCGTCTCTACTAAAAATACAAAAAGTAGCTGGGCATGGTGGCGCGTGCCTGTAATCCCAGCTACTCAGGAGGCTGAGGCAGGAGAATTGCCTGAACCCAGGAGGCGGAGGTTGCGGTGAGCCAAGATGGCGCCATTGCACTCCAACCTGGGTAACAAGAGCAAAACTCCATCTCAAAAAAAAAAAAAGTATATAATTCTGTGGATTTTAGTATATTCACAAAGCTGTGCAGCCATCACTGCTGATTCCAGACCATTTTCATCAACCAAAGAGAAACTCTTGTGTCCAGTAGCAGTCACTCCTCATTTCCCCGTTTCCTTAGCCCCGGGCAACTACTAATCTATTCTCTATCTCGGTGGATTTACATGTTCTGGATATTTCACGTAAATGAAATCATAGAATATGTGACCTTTCGAGTCTGTTTTTTTTTTATTTAGCATGTTTCCAATGTCAATCATAATGTAGTATATGTAAGTACTTCATTCCTTTTCATGGCTGAATAACATTCAATTGTGTGTATATATATCACATTTTGTCTAGTCATTTATCAGTTGATGAACATTTAAGTTGTTTCCGCTTTTTGGCTACACTAAACAATGCTGCACTAAACATAGACATACAAGTTTTACCGTGTACACATATTTTTAGCTCTCTTAAGTGTATACCCAGGAATAGAATTGCTGGGTCATATGATAATTTATAAATAATAAAGTTTAACTTTTTGAGGGCATGCCAAATTGTCTTCCAAAACAAATACGACATTTTACATTCCTGCTATCAATGAATGAGGATTCCAGTTTCTCCACATTCTCACTAATACTTGTTATTATCTGTTTTTTTTTTTTCCATTATCATTATTGTAATGAGTATGAAGTAACATCATATTGAGATTTTGATTCACATTTCCCCAACAGCTAATAATGTTTAGCATCTTTTCATGTGTTTGATGTTTTTCTATCTTGTTTTTCAGAGAAATGTCTGAAATTGTTTTTAATTTGAAATTTTTGACTACCTTTTTAATCAATTGGGTTTTCTCTCTCTTTCTCTCTCTTTTTTTTTTTTTTTTTTTTTTTGAGACAGAGTCTCACTCTGTCACCCAGGCTGGAGTGCAGTGGCATGATCTTGGCTCACTGTAGCCTCCACCTCCTGGGTTCAAGCGATTCTCCTGCCTGAGCATCCTGAGGCGCTGGGATTACAGGCATGCACCACCATGCCTAGCTGATTTTTGTATTTCTTGTAGAGATGAAGCTTCACCATGTTAGCGAGGCTGGTCTCAAACTTCTGGCCTCATGTGATCTGCCCACCTCAGCCTCTCAAAGCTCTGGGATTACAAGTGTGAGCTACTGTCCTGGCCTATTTTTATTATTGAGTTGTAAGAGTGATTTGTATATATTCTGTATACTAGTCCCTTATCAGATAGATGATTGGCAAATATTTTCTCTCATTCTATAGCTATATTTTCACTTACTCAGTGTTTGGCAAATATTTTCTCTCATTCTATAGCTGTATTTTCACTTAAAAACTTTATGCTCCTTTGAAGCATAAAGTTTTTAATTTTTATGAAGTTCACTTTATTTTTTGTTTATACTTTTAGCATCATGTCTAAGAAACCATTGCCTACTTCAAGGTCATAAAGATTTACAGCTGTGTTTTCCTCTAAAAGTTTTTTTTATTTATTTATTTATTTATTTATTTATTTATTTATTGCCCCTTGTTCTTTAATCCCTTTTGAGTTAATTTTTATGTATGATGTGAGGTAGGGATTTGAATTCATTATTTTACATGAGGCTCTCCTGTTGTACCAGCCCCGTTTGTTGAGAAGACTATTCTTTTCCCCATGGAATGATCTTGGCCCCCTTTTCAACAATTAATTGACCATGCATGTATGAGTTTAAATCTGGATTCCTATTCATGTGTATGCGCAGCCTTATGCCAGTGCCACACTGGCTTGATTACTGTAGCTTTATAGTAAGTTTTGAAATCTGTGCTTTGAAATTTTAAATTCTTTTTGAGGGGGAAATGCAAAAGCTTGTGAGGGCCTGGCAGGTATTGTAAATGAAGGTGACTTATTTTAAGGCAATAGGGAAGGTCGAAGAAAAGGACAAGCTGGAGAACTTGCCGCTCATTTAAAAGCAGCAGCCCCTCTTCTCAGCTCTATTTTATTATTTCCATGTAGGAATGTGCACTCAGCATTGCAAATGTTGTGTTTGTGAAAGAGAAACCAGGATTTCAAGTGTTAACATGATGTTTTCCTTTAAAAAAATTTGTACAGGCCAAATGAAGCAGATATGTGTGTCCAATGTGCCTGTGAGCTGTCAGTTTTTTATCCTGCCTTATATTCGCCAGAGTATAATGTTCTTTCTCTTATTAAATGTGGTTAAGTTAATCACTGGCCAGGCCAGAAATCCTGTTTAATTATGCTTTTGGTAAATCCACATATTTACATATGCACATGTATATGTAAAAATATAGAATGAACTTATGGATTTTTGTTTAATTATTTATAAGTGGGATCTGCTTTCTTACCCTTTCTAGTTCAGGACCCCCATAGCTTTCTTCCTTTAAAGTATGTTCCCCTGGCTGTGTCTCACACACTGACCATTTGGCTTCCCCATCTCCAGATCATCTTTGCAGACGAATGCACAGAAGCTGAGGGGCGGCACTGGCACATGAAACACTTTTGCTGCTTCGAGTGTGAGACAGTGCTGGGTGGCCAGCGCTACATCATGAAGGAGGGAAGGCCCTACTGTTGCCACTGCTTCGAGTCGTTGTATGCAGAATATTGTGACACCTGTGCCCAACATATAGGTGAGGCAATACTTGGCACTCAGCTTGGTCCTTCTGTGACTGGGCCACCTTTGTTTTGGGTGTAGTTAAAATATCTTTAGTTGCAAGTGATAGAAATCCAACTCATGCTAACTTAACTGAAAAAGGGAATTTCTTGATTCACAACACTAGAAAGGCCAAGGAGTACACTGACTTCAAGTAGGGGTGGATCAAGGGTTTAAACAAAATCAGTTTTTTTCTCTCTGTATCTCAGCTTACTTTGCCTTCTGTTAACATAATTTGGGAGAAGCTGTCTCCACCTAATGGTCAAGATGATTCACTAGTGATACTAGTCTTAGTATTTGCATTCTCAAAAGAAGAAGAACTGTGTCTCTTTCAGTTTTCAGGTCAGTCCTTCCAAATAAGAATTTTATCAGCCTTGCTTTGGTCAAGGGCCTACCTCCAAGCTGGGACTATGTGCCATACAGTCCCATAGCCAAGGGTCAGGGCAGTGGGGGAAGCTCAGATGCAAAATATAAACAGATATTTTCCATAGCCTCCTTGGGACAAGTTGGTAATCCATAGAGGGAGGAACCAAATTGGTCCTCTTGGGAGGGAGGGACAGTCAAGAAGACCCAGTGGCTTCTGTCAAGTATGTCTTTAAAAAAAATACTAGCAAAAGCTACTCCAGCCAAATGCAAAGCAAACAAACCTTAAATAGTTTGGAAACTATTAACTCCCCAATAAATGGCAGATCTGAGATGGTGAAAGTCATTTTCCCTTTGCAAATAACCAGTTTGTTCAACCCTGCAATGCTGTTCCAGATCATACTCTATTGTGGCTTCTTCATTCAACTTGCCTCTTCTGGCACCTTGGGAAGGAGCCAACCTTGGGGGAAAAAAATGTTGGCAGTGGCCGAATGTCTGTGAGATCACAGCCAGATCACCCAGTGGCTTGTGCAATCCTAAGAAGTCTGTTCAGAAGCTGGCAATTTCTTTCCTAGAGTGAGGAGATGCCGAGATAAGCCATTTTTGAGCCCCTTTTGCCCCACTCAAAGGTTTCATTAGGACCCACGAAAAGTAACTTTGTCTTCCTGGTTCATAAGAAGTGATGTATTCAAATAAAAAATTGACCAGTGTTTAGAGAGCCCTGTGTGCTGATAAAAATCCTGGCTCTGTGAACAAGACACCTACTGTGTGCCCAACAGTGCTTTGTCATTGGGCATTCTTGTCCCACATACTCAGGCCAGGCTTAAGCTCTGCTGTGAGGACCTTTGTTCAGCTGCATTCCCTGCTGGGGGCTTGGGTGATGGCAAATTCTCCACCCCCTAACCCCTGAAAACCTCACCCCTCTCACAGCCTGTTGCCTCACTTCAGTACCCAGGAGCTTTCATGTCTCACCAGACCAAAGTGGTCAAACAGATTAACCTTTTTGCTAAGAGTTAGGAAATGGGAAGTTCAATTGCGACACGTGGCATGACGTGTGAGGAAGGGGAGAGGCAAGACAGTGTCAGGGAAAATGGTGCAATGTCCTGACCCAGTATTGCCCAACTGAGGACTCAAGTCTGCAAGCGCGTGCTTGCTCAGGTGAGAGCACGTATTCCATGTGTAGAATACAGGCCCATCACAACAATACCCCCTTTCCATCTGTATTTCTGTTTTTTTTTCTGTTTCTTTCCATGGAGGCTAGAGCCTCTCCAGAAACTGCCCCTTCAAATTTTGGCTCAGTACTTGAGAGAGAAAAAAAAATCTCTCTGTTGCTGAAGCAGGTACACCTCGGATGGCCCCTCAGCTTTCCTCTCTGACTGTCTCCCTTTGGCTGTCCAGCACATTTATTGGCATTGCTTCCTCCTTTCCTCCTAAATCCATAAAAAGGTGTCAGTGCTTTATCAGAAAATGGGACCACGGTGGCCTGCAGTATTATTGCTGCTGTAGTTAAAATGTTGTCCCTAAGGTTTGCTTTAAATTCACTTTTCTCTAAGACGTAATTTTCCTGTGACAGTGAAAGAGCACGCTCTATATAGCATGCATACCTCAGTCACTGGGTGCTTTACCTCTGACCATACTGTACAAATATTCCATATTTATACAGCCACTCAGAGCAGACCCTGCGTCAGGCAGCCGTTGCTAGGGCAACGGTACTTTTGCCTGCGCACAGCAGAGTAAACAGTCCTATAAACAGACCGAGGCTGTGGCAGCAGTAGACACACACACCCTCCGATAAGTACTTAAAGGGCTTAGAGAAGGAATAAAAAAGGAACGCTTAGATGTTGAACAGCAGAGCCCTTTTCCAGATGTTTAGAGTTCAGGAGCAGTTCAGAGGACCATCTGACATCGTTGATGTTTATCGGGGACCATGTTCTGCTGCCTGCCAGGCCGCTTTATGACATCCTCCCCTCCTCTCCCCCAACCGGAGCCCATCCTTCCATGAGGCCCCCATTCCCAGGAACGAGGCCCTTGCTGCTGCATCTGAGCCTGTGTCCTTGCCAAAACATGGAGAAGCAGCTGGTGGCAGATAGGCCAGAGGGACTGGACTTCCTGTGTACCTCTAACAGGGAATGGGGATAGCTGTGGCTGCTCTGGATGCTGCGCTGAGTAGACCTCACCTTAAAGGGATGCCATCCTGAGCTCCCTGCACTCTTGGCATTTGAGAAAGGGAATGAGGAAGAGGAGAAGGAAGGTGGGAGAGGGGAGGGGAGACACAGCAGCCTCATAGTTCTTTCTTGGACTGCATCTGGGCAGTGACCTAATCCAAATAAAAGAAGAGTGGTCAGCAGTCCCAGTTCTCAGCACTCCATGCATATTAACTCAGTTACCAAGTACTATGATTATCCCCATTATACTGCTAGGGAAACCAAAGCACAGAGAGATGCAGCCATTTGCCTAGGGTCACACAGCTGGAATGCAGCAGAGCCAAGACTTGAACCCAAGCAGATGGCTTTCAGCATCTTTATAACCAACTGCCATGGGATGGAGCTGGGATTTGAACCTGTGTTTGTCAGGGTCCTGAAGCCTCACGCTTAGCTACTACAGAGTCCTGTGTCCCTGTGCTCTCTGCCCCAGCTTTCTCCCAAGGACCTGGGAAAGAAGTGTCTGTGAAGCTAAACAGACAACCAGGGTTGTCTGGTTCGAGCCCCGCCCCAGCTGGTTGTTTCTCAGTCTACTGGAGAGCACTGATGCTGAGATGCAATCAAGAGATGCAGTTGATTCAGTTGATTCACATAGTGTTCCTCTTTCTCACTTGGGGTGACCTTTGTGGCTATTCCTATCCCTGTAAAAAAAAATCCCCTCTTAGTCCCTAAGGCCAGGTTCTAAAATGAAAAGAGAGCCCAGTAGTTTGGGAAAGGGCTAATAAGAGAAGAACTGACCTCATGGCTCTCTCTCCCTGGGCTCCATAGACACAAAAGTGAGCCAGGAGATAGACAGCAGAGGAGAAAGAGAGGCTGCTTGGGCCCTGGCCTTTTGTTCTTACAATTCTCTTCTCCCTAGTTTCTTGTTCACCACCTCCTTAGACAAGTCTCCAGAAGTTCTTCCTTGAAAGTCCAGGCTCAGGAACTCTCAGCCACTGAAGATGAAGGTCCACATCAGTCCTCCTTTCTGGGAAGCCTTGTATCGTTATGCATCAGGAGATTGCAAGCATCCTGGTCCACCCTGCAGTCATAGCTTGAGGCGACATTCCCAGCAGGCTCTCCCCACAGGAGGGGGCCCCAGCAGCTCCCAGCTTCCATTCTGCCAGTTTAACAACAGCTATAAAAAGAGCCTGCTGTGTGACTGCCTTAGCAAAAGTCCTGCCTTAGCAAAAGCAAGGAGAGGTGTTGGCTTAGTGCAGGTCACTTGCCCACTCCTGAAACAGTCCCTGGGTGCCAGGAAAGCAGATTTTTTTGGCTGGTCTCTGTTGGGTCCTGGGTTACCTTTTGTCCCATCTTCAGGCTCATGGCCTGAAGATGGCAGGGAAATGGTATTCCACAGGGAAATGAAGTCCTATAACCAGAAGAGGGCAGGGATGATGAGATGGCAGAACCCCGGGGGCTGTGGGAGGCTCCCTTGGTATGCACTGTGGCCAGGCTATATAAACCTGGCACAGTCCTGTGACAGGGGGAATTGCACCTCTTCCTTTCCTGATGAAAGTAAGCAAAGTGTACGCATGCTCCCAGAGGGGCATTAGCTTTGGCAATGCCATGTCTAGATTTTTCTTTACCAAAAGCAGATTTTTCCTTAACAAAAGTTGAAATCCACATTTTTATTTCCCATTGTCTAAGTCTGTTGAGACTGCTTTAACAGAATAGCACAGACTGTGTGGCTTCTGAATAGTATCGTATTGAACATAAATGTATTGCTGACAGTTCTGAAGGCCACGAAGTCCAAACTCAAGGCATCAGCAAATGCAGTGTCTGCTGAGGGTCTGTCTTCTGTTTCCTAGATGGTTCCTTCTTGCAGAGTCCTCACATGGTGGAAGGGGCAAACAAGCTCCCTTGGGCCTCTCCTATAAGGGCACTAATCTCGTTCATGAGGTCCCCACTCTCATGACCTAGTCACCTCTCAAAAAGCCCCATCTCCTAATGCCAACACTTTAGGATTAGGGCTTCGACTTAGGAGTTTGAGAGAAAACATTCACCATAGCATCCACTGAGTTGCTACTATGACTTACCTATTGGAATAGCACATGCTAGTGATAGGATTCACTTGATCCATCCATGTACAGAGAGCCCCTGTCATACCCCAGGCCATGTTCCAGGTCCTGGAGATGCTGTAGAAACTTAATGAGTCTATCCTCATAGAGTTTCATTTTCAACAAGGGAGAGATAATACACAGATGCACATGTATAGTGTTGCAATATAAAGCAATTTTGGTGCTGTCAAGAAAACTCTAGCAGGTAAGGGTGGAGAGTAATGGAGAATCACTTTTAGTATGGACAGGAAGACTTCTCAGAGGAGCTGGCTTTTGAGCAGATGGCTAACTGGAGTGAAGGAGATAGTATCAATGTCATGGTTGATACTAAGACTTCTTGGGTACTGATATCGTCTCTGGTTCCTAGTTATGTTATCCTAGGCAAGTTACTTAGCCTCATGTGCCTCCATTTTCTCATGTGAAAACTGCAAATAATATTAGAAACCTAGCTCAAGGAGCTGAGTGATTAAATGAGTTTACATGTATAAAGCTCTTAAAGCAGTGCGTGGTCATTTGTTAGCATTACTGTTGCTGTTTGTCAGGGGCAAATGTGTCCCAGGCAGGATTCATAGATAAGCCATTTTAACGTAGAGTCTCTGTGCTTGGAGCAAATGAGTGAAGAAGGTGCTTACTGGTACAGGAAGGAGTTCTTGTGGTAGGACATGAATACCATTTAGATAGGGGTCTGATGGTTGATTTTTTGGCAATTTATTCTGCCGCACCTGGAATCCTGAGACTAACCAAGGTGCTGTGTGTTTCACGTCCCAGTGCAGGGCTCTGAGCAGCTAATCAGCCTCTCCCATGTCTCTCGTTTCCTTAGGTATCGACCAAGGTCAAATGACCTATGATGGCCAACACTGGCATGCCACCGAGACCTGTTTCTGCTGTGCTCACTGCAAGAAATCCCTCCTGGGGCGGCCATTCCTCCCAAAGCAGGGCCAGATTTTCTGCTCACGGGCCTGTAGTGCAGGGGAAGACCCCAATGGTTCTGATTCCTCTGATTCCGCCTTCCAGAATGCCAGGGCCAAGGAGTCCCGGCGCAGTGCCAAAATCGGCAAGAACAAAGGCAAGACAGAGGAGTCCATGCTGAACCAGCACAGCCAGCTGCAAGTGAGTTCCAACCGGCTGTCAGCCGACGTGGACCCCCTGTCACTGCAGATGGACATGCTCAGCCTGACCAGCCAGACGCCCAGCCTCAACCGGGACCCCATCTGGAGGAGCCGGGAAGAGCCCTACCATTATGGGAACAAGATGGAGCAGAACCAGTCCCAGACCCCTCTGCAGCTCCTCAGCCAGTGCAACATCAGAACTTCCTACAGTCCAGGAGGGCAGGGGGCTGGGGCCCAGCCTGAAATGTGGGGCAAGCACTTCAGCAACCCTAAAAGGAGCGCATCACTGGCCATGACAGGGCATGCTGGCAGCTTCATCAAGGAATGCCGAGAAGACTATTACCCGGGGAGGCTGAGATCTCAGGAGAGCTACAGCGATATGTCTAGTCAGAGTTTCAATGAGACCCGAAGCAGCATCCAAGTCCCCAAATATGAGGAGGAGGAGGAGGAGGAAGGAGGCATGTCCAGTCAGCAGTGTCGGACCCGTCATCCAATCAGTTCCCTGAAATACACAGAGGACATGACGCCCACAGAGCAGACGCCTCGGGGCTCCATGGAATCCCTGGCCCTGTCTAATGCAACAGGTAGGTTCTGTTCATCTCAAAAACAGATAGCAAGGGGTAATCTCTGGGTGACTGGATCCCGGTTCTCAGGATTTTAATGTTTCTGCCATGTTCCCCTTTCCAATAGGCTGCAAAGGAAGGTAAACCCAAGTTTGGGATGGCTTCTATCTTTGGTGGGATTCCCTGTAAACAAAGCCTGAGACAGGGGTCCGGATGCCTGTGATGTACTGAGGGAGTGCTCCCAGGAAAAGGGGAGTGAGAGAAAGAGGACAGGGCAGGGGGAGGAGCCAAGTGAGGATTGGTGTCTCCATCGAGGTCTGGCTTCCGCCTGATCCCATAGAGGGCTCTGATAGATGAGTGGCACTATAGAGTCGATTGCTTCTTGTAACAAAGGGTCTGATGGTTTGTACCATCATATTAGTTGGTCATCAGCTTTGGGCTGCTGAGGAGTGATGAGGGGGTAAGACTGTGGATATGGGCTTGGGGCAAGGCAGCTCCTGTTGGCCAAAGGCAGCACTAAAGAGAGAAGACACTATGGTCAGAATGTTTTCCGCCAAATTCCTACACTGAGATCCTGAATCCCAAGGTGATGGCGTTAGGAAATTGGGCCTTTTGGGAGGTGACTAGGTCCTGAGAGTGAAGACCTCATGAATGGGATTAGTGCCCTTATAAAAAAGGCCCAAGGGAACTTGGTTGCCTCTTGTACAATGTGAAGGTGGAGAAGGTGTATCTGAGCTGATAGCAGTAGTTGTAGCACCTGGAGCCCAGTTTCCCCAGCCTCGTGCTGCTTGGGTCACCAAAGCATTTATGACAGCTTCTGAGACTGTTCTGAACCTGTGTCTCACCAGGGAACTGGCTTCAAAATGCAATTAAAGATATAAGAAATGTCTGGCTAGACAAGGAGAAGACAGGTAGGCTGAAAAGAACAGAAGTGGACAGAGAGACTTGTTGCATGCTTCTCTCTCCAATGACATTGTCTAGCTGGTTTTCTGTGCATGGGAAGACTGATGGTGGCTCACACCTGTAATCCCAACATTTTGGGAGGACAAGGCAGGAGGATCACTTGAGGGCAGGAGTTTGAGACCAGCCTGGGCAACATAGTTAGATTCTCTCTACAAATACACACACACACACACACACACACACACACACACACACACACACACACAAATTAAAGTTAGCTGGACTTGGTGGCACATGCCCATATAGTCCCAGCTAGTTAGGAGGCTGAAACAGGAGGATCACTTGAGCCCAGGATGTTGAGGCTGCAATAAGTAATGATCCCCTCTGCACTCCAGCCTCAGTGGCAGAGTGAGAACCTGTCTCTAAAAAAAAAAAAAAAAAAAAAAAATTAATGAGGAAAAAAAATAGACCAATGTAAATCTTCTCTGTGATGGTGCTACTTAAAGCAGAATCTGAGGATCACGGTGGCTGAAAACTATCACCCATCAGCAGCGAGATTAGTACTGAAACTGAGAGTGTCTAGAAACTCTTACAGCAGTTCGATGTTGCAGTGACATCCAAGTGCACGTTTAGTGGGCTTGTCCTATTGATCAGGGTGTATAGACCAATCGGGGTGTTGTATAACTTACACGCTGAGCTCTTTGTGCTTTGTGCTGTATCAGACAATCTCAGCAGGGTCACTAGGGATTGAAAATAAAAACAAACTGTTTCTTCACCACTGATAGGTTGAGAAGTAGTGCTCTAAGATGCGCTAAGTATATCTGCCCCTTTGTGGGCAAGGTACCCGAGGAGGGAGACGTACGTCTGCCCCTTACATCAAGGATTCCATAGTCAATGGTGTCTGGATGGAGACTGTGATAATGTCAGCCCCATCTGAAGGGGACAGCCACTGCTCAGCTCCAGCTGCTTGTTGGCATGTGCTGGGATATATATGTAACCACCTAACCCTCATATTGCTCTTGCAATGTGTCAAATATTGTTCTAAGCAGTTATAAATATTAGCTTGCTTAATTACATTGTCATAACACTGTGAGGGAGGAATATTGTTAGAATTCTCATTTCAGAGTTGAAGAAACTGAGAAATAGAGAAGTTGAGGGACTCACCCAAAGTCACTCAGCTTTTAGAGTGGTAGAACAGAGATTTGAACCTGTGCATAGGATTCCAGGACCTTGCTCTTAATCACACCAGGCTGCCAATCTAATACGAGCCCCATCCTTTCAGATTGTCCCATTTTTTTCATACAAGTTAAAAATTTGGACTGTTAAAAATGTGAAATCTATTTCAACCCTGTTGGACAAACAAAACGAGGCTCTGAGTTGTAGGTTGTCCATGCAATGGGTTTTACCTTCGATCCCCATCAAATATGTCCAGATCTGTGTTCCCATTTGTCCCAGAACAAACAGATATCCTCATCCCCATGTTTCAGATGAAAAAAAATCAATGAGGCCTTGGTGACTAAGCACCTTGCTTGATGTCTTAAAAGTGAGCAATTAGTGCTGAGTGATGACTGCCTGGCTTCCAGCCCAGGTTACGTTATTCTCGAAAGATTTATGTGCTATAATTATTTAAGAGGGCAGCAGATAAATATATACTTCGGCCTCTGAAGCAGAGTTTCTCAAAGCTAGACCACCTGCACTAGAATCATGGGGGTGCTTGATTCAAACATAGGCTCCTGGACCTCCCCCAGCCCCCTGCATCAGAACTCTACAGAGGTGGGGCCCGGCAAGCTGCATGTTAAGCAGATCTCTGCTTAGACTGATGTGCACCATTGTCTGAGAGCAGATGTGCCTGGGTTTGTCTGCTCTGACTGTATTGTCCTCACATTGTGGCTCATGAGGAAATCAGGAGGGCTAGAGGTTGAGGAATGTTGGAAAGGATGAGTGAGGGAGACACTCAGTTTCTACTCCTAAAGAAGACGACATGGGAGATTTATTCCCAATTCTCTAGGATCCTTGGGCAAAGCAACTAATGCCCCTTTGCCTCAGATTTTTGGGAAACAACCCTGACCATGTCTGATACAACTGAGGGGGAAAAATTCCTGAGATCAACACTGTCTAATATGGCAGCCATCCGGGGCTGTAGAAATTTAAATGAATTAAAATTAAATGAAATTAAAATTTCAGGCCATCAGTCTCACTAGACAGATTTTAAGTACTCAACAGCAATGGCCTGAAGTTTATATTTTATTTAATTTTAATTCATTTACATTTCTGTAGCCTCCTATGGCTAGTGATGACCCTGACAGAAGGTGCAGATGACAGAAGTGAACTGAGGAGATGGGCATGACGTTAAGCCATCATGAGTCTCTGAAGTTCTTACATGAGCCCTGATTTTTTTTGGCTTCCTAATTAATTAATGGCTAGGAGTCCTGGTTCTGGAGTCACACTTGCCGGGGTGAGATCGAGCCTTCATCATTTAGGAGTTGCGTGGCCTTGAATAAGTCACTTAAACTCTGCAAGACTCAGTTTCCTCATCCATGGCATTTGGTGAATAAATGGATGAAGGTGTGCCTGTAGTACTTTTTTCATATAGCTTTGATGAGGATCAAATGATACATGCACTTAAAATCACTAACATAGTCTTTGACACATATGACCCTCTGCAGTAGTTACCTGCTACTTTTTATTATTATTAATTCTTTCTCCTCCCAAACACACTGATCCATAGTTTTGGCCCCTACACCTGTTGTGGCTGCTAACTTCTCCTACCATCCACCAGCTGTGCAGGTTTATATTTTAGATTTGAAAATACCCCTGCAAGGGCCGGGCTTGGTGGCTCTCACCTACAATCCCAACACTTTGGGAAGCCGAGGCAGGCAGATCACTTGAGGCCAGAAGTAAAGACCAGCTTCGCCAACATGGCAAAACCCCATCTCTACTAAAAATACAAAAATTAGCAAGGCATGATGGTGCATGACTGTAGTTTCAGCTTCTTGGGAGGCTGAGACACAAGAGTCACTTGAACCCAGGAGGCAGAGGTTACAGTGAGCCAGGATCATACCACTGCACTCCAGGTTTTCGACAGAGCAAGACTCTGTATTTAAAAAAAGAAAAGGAAAATACTCCTGCAGATTCCTTTTTTCCTAACTAACATAAGGCCGTGAAAAACAGGGACATTTTACATGTGTTTCTATGGTTCTGTCAGATACGACAGTGTTGAAGAAAGATGGTGGCTAATATTCTAAGCACAGCTTCATCATTTGTCATTGGAGCAGCCCCTAAACAGCCTTTCACATCCTACGCTGCACACACATACACCAAGGACTAGACTTGGAAAGTTGCTGTTTTTGCTGCCGTACCCCACTGTTAAATTTGAATTTTGCTAGAATTCAGTAGTTTTTTTGTTTTTTTGTTTTTTTTTTAATAGCATTCTAAGCTATCTGCATATCTTTAAATCCTAGAATCACAGTCTGAATACCAGATATGTGCCACAAAAGGCTTTAGTGAAACACCTTGATCCTTCAGATAAAGCTAGATTTCAAGATGATAGTTTCTTTTTTCTTCCATGGTCAGTAACTTATGTTATTGAATAAGTCTGTAGTGCTTAATCTGGCATGAAGTGTGATCTTTCTGTGGACAGCATTTTTCCTTAGAACAGATCTGAAAAAACAGATAGCTCCAGGGGCTTGTCAGCCTCAGATCTGGGCTTTGGCTCCTCCCAATGTGTTTAGAACTGGGAGTGTGCAGTCCCTTCTCCTTGGAAAAGACAATTCATCCCTTATGCTCTCACAGAGTGAGTCAGGCAGGCATAGCCACCATTTCTACCACTGCAATGTAGGAGCCTTGCAAAAGCGCTTTAACCCTGCCAGTCCCTAAACATGCCTCTAAAGCAGCTTGCAGCCTGCATAGTCATAGCATTAGAAGTAGAAATAATGACATCAAAAACAACTAACATTATTGAGTGTTTATATGGACTGAATATTGTTATAAGCACTCTCCGTGAACGAAACACGCTCAGTCCTCACAGCAACCCTATGAGGTAGACAAAGTTGTTATTCTCATTTTACAAATGGTATACATGAGGCACTGAGAGGCTGAGTTGCCCAAGCCTGCGTTGC